GAAGATTTCAAAATCAAGGCCAGGGATCTGCGAACTATGTTCAGAACGAAAGGGTATCCCAATAAATGCCTCAAAAGGGCCTATCATAGAGCCCTACTAGTAGACAGAGAGACCCTAATAAGAGAAGAGTCAGTCCCGTGCAAGAACTTAATGCAACAAGATAACAAACAACTTAGGTGTGTAGCCACTTATGATGCTGGATGGAACTGTATAAGATCTATTATGCATAGATTCTGGCCGTTGCTAAGACAGGATGAGCAATTGAAGGATATTATTCCATCACATGTATCCCTGGTAGCAAGGAGAGGCAAGAATCTTAAAGACTCTCTAGTACATAGCCATTTTCAGAGAATAGCAGCACCGACACACTGGCTATCAAACAATCTCAAAGGCACTTACAAATGTGGAAGATGTAAGGCATGTAATTTTATTAAGAAAGATTCAAAAACCTTTACTGACAGTAGTAAGAATCAGCATTTTGATACACATTCCTTTTTTAATTGTAGCTCTAAAGGTTTAGTGTATTTGATTACCTGCCAATGCTCAATGTCCTACGTGGGTAAAACCTTTCGTCCTTTCAGAAGAAGAATCCTTGAACATATCAATTCTGTTAAAAGTACTAGACATATTGAGACCCCAGTCTCTAGACATGTTAAAAATGTACATAATGGAGATCCCACAGTTTTGAGATTTCAGGGAATAGAATTAATTCGACAGGATCAAAGAAAGGGAAACTGGGACCAGTGTATTAGGAAAAGAGAGTGCTATTGGATTTACCGATTGAAAACCATGTCACCTAAAGGATTGAATGAAGGATTCACTTATACTCCCTTCATCACTTGATCTCTACATAAACTACAACTTGTAAAAACAGTATCATCAGCACTGTAAATAATTCACTGTAAATAATTTAATCATAGTTAAACATAGATTTTTCAAACCCTGTGCCAAACTTTGTAAAAATCATTGATGTAACAGGATCCTTCAACAGCATCAACCATAATAATTAACACTGCTCAATATCAATGTAACCCGTTTTTAACATTTTTACAATTTATTTTTTGACATTGCAACTACATCCCTGAAATAGGATGGAATTTGCAGATTAGGGTTACATTCTCCTGACTTATAAATTTCCTCACTTTGAATTTTGAAGCAATTATCGGTGGATGAGACAAAAAAACAGTGCTTTTTATAGCTAATAATATAAAGCTTAAACGCACTATGAATCATACCTCCACCAATGAATATATCACAAAGTTAATGAATTTATGAATTACAGGATGAGCACCGTTGAAATATAATATCAATATTTCGTGTAATAGATGCCATTTAGCCCGTGACCGGTGAATATTTAAATTCAAACTGTCCATCAAACGACGTTGTCGAATAAAAAATTTCCTTATTCCCTTCACCCCTGGGCCACCACGTGGGACAATAAGTTATCAGAGAAGGAGGGATTCTTAAACCGAATTAGTTCAATTCAATGACGTTTAATTAGGAGGCTTTCCTCCCTCCTCCCTTTGTTATCCCGCCCATCAGTAGGTCACAGGGGTAGATACGTTACGAATGACGTCATGACTTCCCGGACACGTGATTGAATGATCAAGGAGAGAGCTTACATCTGATTGGCTACACGGGGGTTTAAAAGTCCCGGCTTTTTTGCGAGACAGTTTCATCCCCTGACGAAGGTGTTCTAACACACCGAAACGCGCGTCGGGCGCAATCATCACTCACTTTGTTCACTTTTTAGGGACACTTTATCACTATGGGTATTTAGACCCTTATAGGTTAAATTAATTCTTTTCTTTATTTTTCATTCTACACAGTGCCGCTCATACAGCCGGTGTGATGGCACATTAGGCAGCTTTTTTCTTTTGCTTCTCTTAGATCGAGCCGCAGATTAGAACACCCTTGAAGGTGTTGGGAGGATATCAGGGACTAGTGCATAGTCTTTCCCTCATAGGGATACAAGAATAACCTTTTCCTCTATATGGATACAATTCGTGCTTATTGTTTTCAGGTCCCTAACTCACTCCCTCTGGAGATGACTCATAAGAAGCAGTTACTGCATTTGTATTTTCACTAACTAATGCAACATTGTATCTAGCTATACTTTGGCTTTTTTTCCTTTTACTTTTTCTTTTGCTGCCAATGTGGATTTATGGGATTCTGTTATTGGTATATTGACCACAGTAATATATACTAGTCAATACTAGTAAGGTCATCTGCCATTTTTAAAGGGAGACTTTTTATGGATAACTATGTTACTAGTCAGAACTCAATAAAGACAGCAATTAGCTATTACTCTGTATTAGTACTAGTACCTTAGTCATTAGGGAGTTTTCTTATCTCCCACCCTTCTCTCTCTTCCCATTTATACATACACACATTTAATTACTGTAAAGGGCTAATAGGCACAGACCTTCAAGCTGTTAAACACATTCCTTTGCCAGTATTTACAACATTTTCAATCTAGTGTATCCATTCTCACTCTAAACTCTTACAGTGCCAAACACCAAAATGGGCACTGTAAGTGCCATAACCACTATGGAATTTTGTAGTGGTTACAGCACAAGGAGTCTTTTGGTGCTGGATATCCTAAGTATCCCACGTATTGGTGTTGAGTACGTGATGTGGTTTATATGTATTGATGCAGTAATGTAACATAACTAGTTTCTCTTCTTTTTTTAGTTTTACCAGTCTCTTCTAAAATGTCCACCTCTTATTAACAGCTTCTCTGGATCGCTTGCATACTCTGATAAAACCAGCATTCTGCACTGTTGTTTCTGCTATATGTGTGACTATTTTGTGTATATCAGCATTTCAATATCAGAAAGAGTTACTTATTTTACAGTGTGGATCTTTTCAGCAAAGATACACTACATCATTTTGCTTAAAACTTTATCATATTTTTTATAAAATGGTATTCTTTTAGAATGCTGTGTCTTATTTAATATCCCTTGATTATTATATTAATTAATATTACAGGGTACAGATCTCTATATAATCATGCTATACTTTGTGGTTATAAATGCCCAATTAAGATCTGTATGGATTTAATAAAATTTATATATTCAGTTCACTTCTTGGTTTACAGGCAATTATGTATTTTTATAAAACACATGTCCATTTAACCCTCCTTTTTGCTCCGACTTTATATACGTGTTTAATGTATTCACATGTCGTCCTTGATATGGCATAAAACACAACCGATTGTAGTTCTCCTTACCAAGCTCTCCCCTTGTTGCTTCCAGCCTTCTTGCTGTGTTAATTAATTAGTTATTTGTTTATAACTCTCTGATTGAGCTGTGAGCTACTTCATTCATCCTAAGCAGGAGAACCTGCAGCCAGCATCTCAGCCTATTCAGTGTTTAGCTTATTCAGACAACTGCAACCACTGTTTTATTTTACCATAACCACTTGGAAATATTAGATCACGTAATCTACATATTGTGTATTTGTGCGTACTTTTATGGAGAATTCTACTTTACCTACAACACAAATAACTAACCTCAAACTAATAATGGGGGACGTTAATTATTACAGCACAAAATAAGTAGCAAGAATACTTGTCAGCCAATGCTCTTGACTTATCTTGCTGAAATCTCACATATTTTAGTTCTTAAAGAAAAAGGAGTCAGTTTAAAGTTGTTTCTTTTATTTTAAAAGAAAACACAATAAAGGAGGAGACCATATTTAAAAGAAGAAAGGCTACCACAACAAGAGGACATAGTCTTAAATTAGAGGAGCTAAGGTTTAAAAATAATATCAGGAAGTATTACTTTACTGAGAGGGTAGTGGATGCATGGAATAGCCTTCCAGCTGAAGTGGTAGAGTTAACACAGTAAAGGAGTTTAAGCATGCGTGGGATAGGCATAAGGCTATCCTAACTATAAGATAAGACCAGGGACTAATGAAAGTATTTAGAAAATTGAGCAGACTAGATGGGCCAAATGGTTAGTATCCGTCACATTCTATGTTTCTAAATTCAAATGCTTGAAATGCATAATAGCAACATGGAAATATAATTTATTAACCCCTTCAGACAGGAGGACATACAATTACGCCCTATTTTAGGCGGCTCTAAACGCCACTGGGCGTAATTGTACGCCCTCCGGTTTTTGTTTACTTACCCGGTCGCCGGTGGTCCCAGGGAGCCCCCCTTCGGTAGATCCTTCTCCTCCGGTGCCCCCCGGTCATGTGAGAGTGGGGTCCTTGCGAGGACCCCACAATCACATGGCTGGGTAGGCTGCCTCCTGCATTGCCAGCAGGGGGCTGCCTGTAATGACAGGTGGTCCCCCTGCTGGCTGAAAATAAAATTAAAATAAAATGTATTAGTGTAAAAAAATATATATATATATATATATATATATATACATACATACACACACATACACTGTCTAGGTGTATTTTACTATTAATATATATATATATATATATATATATATATATATATATACATCAAATTACACGTAGACTGATACTGATTAAATATATATATATATATATATATAATTATTGTTATACATATATTTATATATAATATAAAACAATTAAATATGTAAATACATTAAAAAATAAAATTAAAAAAAATTAATTTTAAAATATATAGATGTGTGTTATTTTGTTCTAACTGTATTGTGATATTAATATATATATTTATATCAAAATACACGTAGAACAAAATAATATATATATCTACATACATAAATATATACGTATATATCACTATATATATACCTATATATAAATAAAATTATTTAAAAAAATTATATATATACACATATAGATTCACATACGTATATATATATATATATATACATATATTAATTCTACATATATATTTATGTAATATTTTTACATAATTAGGTATCTTAATTAATTACAATTAGCAGGACCTGCCTGACAACCCATGCCGGAAGTAAAGGGAATTTAATTTGCTAGCACTATATTTAACCCTATAACTTTCCAAGACACCATAAAACCTGTACATGGGGGGTACTGTTCTACTCGGGAGACTTTGCTGAACACAAATATTATTGTGTCAAAACAGTAAAATGTATTACAACGATGATATCGCCAGTAAAAGTGACATTTTTTTGCATTTTTCATGCACAAACAGCACTTACACGGACGATATTATTGCTGTGATACTTTTTACTGTTTTGAAACACAAATATTTGTATTCAACGAAGTCTCCCGAGTACAACAGTACCCTCATGTACAGGTTTTATGGTGTTTTCAAAAGTTACAGCGTCAAATATAAGGCTTGTGTTTCATTTTTTTCACATTAAAATTGGTTACATTTGAGACCCTATGGTAGCCCGAGAATGAAAATTACCCCTATGATGGCATACCATTTGCAATAGTAGACAACCCAAGGTATTGCAAACAGGGTATGTCCAGTCTTTTTTAGTAGCCACTTAGTCACAAACACTGGCCAAAATTGGCGTTTTTGCATTTTTCACACACAAACAAATACTAACGCTAACTT